CTTAACGCAACTTTGCCGACGATAGAGAATGAACAGGAATTCACATGGATCCTAAAAATATGCATTTTCAAAAATCATAGGCGGATACAGATCATTGAGATTGGGGGTACACAAAAAGTATAGTAAATAAGGTTTTTGTTGGTACTGTTTCTAAAAGGGTGATAATTGTCTTGTTATATTACAATTTTCTATGAGAGAACGACTACAATTGTATTGGTCATGCATAGGCGGTGTCAGGGCACCTATGTTGGGAGGTAAAACATAACCCCCCTTTTTGGACGCCTGGATCCGCCTATTATAGCAAAAACGTGTCAAAAGAGGATGCACAATAACTTGTATATGTTATCACATGATACTTTCATTCACTGTTCGTAAAAACTGGTGCATACAGTTATAATACATCAGCATCGTGATCTTCGCCCAAATGACTCGCTTCACGAATAGGATCCCCCAGTTCCCAGTGCTCTGGAGCCGCCCTGGTAAAGTTATGAACTTGAAATTTGCAGGGAATGTGCCCAATTTAGTTTTAGGAAAAGTCAGAAAATTTCAGCATCGTAGCTTCAGCGGTTTCGGAGATATTCCCGAAAAACCTGAGGGGTGGATGAAAACACCCCCCTGCCACTAATAGGGTTAAAATGATCTGTTTTTTAATTCAACAGATAGCATGGCGATGGACAAAGTTCCAAGTGTAACGGAGGAATGTCAAGTGGGGTTCCCGTTGCTGTATTGTGATAGCTCGGCACTTCACCTGTTACCAATATCTAGTCGTGTACTTTCTCACAGACGAGTGATGCTCGTATCTCAGGTTGAGCTAGACTCCTATCTACAATAACGCTGTAACGCATAACTTTTACATGTCCATGTTATGTCGGTTGCGTTATATTCAAGCCCCAAATTACTGACTTCTTTGCTCATTTTTGTACGCACTGTTCAGGTGGAGACGATCGGAGACGCCTACATGGTGGTGGGCGGGTGTCCCGAGGTGGACCCCGACCATGCCGAGCTGGTGGCCCGACAGGCTCAACAGATGATACAGGGATCGGGCCATGTGCTGGTGCCCAATACGCAGAGGCCCGTTCAGGTATAGGGTGGGTGGTGGTCATCTGATGACCGGAACTGGAGCTCGGGTGGACACCCAACAGGATATGAGCAGAAGGCCGGGGATGAGACGAGCGGAGCCCAAACTGGACAGCGAACTGGTCAGAAGCCGTTATGGTTTGATACGTTGTTTTTCTTTTGACGCCGATGTTTGCATTTATAAACCCGATTGTAACAAGTTTGGGGTTTATGGACGCTCATTTGATAAATGCGAATAAAAGCGTAGATTCGTATATAGTTTAGGTTTCGATTTCAAGAAATGCTTCAGGATTTCGACTGATTTTATAATTGAAACGTGCTCCGAGTGAGAATAAGACATTGTGGGTCGCATATATTGAAATCCACTATGAGAAAAGCATGGTCCAGTGAAAATGGGTCAACGATTTAGTTAAGCCACGGAATATATAGTCTACGACATCTCGAAGACTATAGATTCCATGGTTAAGCTATAGGTTAGGGTTGGGTTAGGTCAGGTCAGGTTGGGCTAGGGTATATTGTTTTCGGGGCCATGCCTTTTCACATGTTGGATTTCAATATACGCGCTCGGGCTCCGTGTAGTTATCATATGGCCGCCCTCTGACGTCATCCTCACGTGCTGCCAGATCCGTGTGGGAATGCACACTGGTCCCGTGGTGGCCGGTATAGTCGGAGTGAAGATGCCCCGCTACTGCCTCTTTGGAGACACAGTCAACACTGCATCCAGAATGGAGTCTCACGGGCTGGCCGGTCATATTCACATAAGTCACTCCACCTACACGTGAGTGATGTGTGAAAGTGACGTCAGTGGTGACGTCAGTGATATGTGATGTCATATGTGACTCAAGCGAATAATATCGCTGACATCAGTAAATAAAATCACTGAAGTCAGCAAATGATCTGTGGCATCAGTGAGTCCTGTCACGTCAGTGAATGGTAGGTGATCTTAGCGAGTAGGTATATAACTGACGCCAGCGCATGATGCTTCGTCCAATATGTGTTCGCTAGTGACATGGCACATACTCATGTTCAGTCTCCGAGCTGGTGCCCAAGACGGATCATATGGCCTTCAATTGCCAGCCATCTGCCACACCCACCACCGTTCTCTAACCAGCCCTCTCCCTTCAGATGCCTCCGCAGCAACCAGCGGTTCTCGTTCGAGCGGCGCGGTCAGATCCCAGTCAAGGGGAAGGGTATGATGTACACCTATTTCGTGGTCGACCTGGAGCCGGGAGAGCCGGTGGTTCCTGAGCCGCCGCCGCCTCCCGCCTACCAGCACGGCCTCCAGCCGAGCTCCAGTCGACTGAAGGTGGTGCCCGTCCGACGGCATCCGTTCAGCGCCGTCTGTGAGGTCATGTGAGGTCGTGGGAGGTCGTGGGAGGTCGTGGGAGGTCATAGGTGGCAATGAGAGGTCATGCGAGGTTGTAGGTCATAAGAGGTCATATGAGGTCATCGAAAGTCACGTGAGGTCGCAAGGGGTATCTCCGGCCGCAGAGGTTATGAAAAGTCACAAAGGTTGTATAAGACTGCAGGTCATGTCATGTCGAGTGAGTGTGGCTTTCTAGGTCATGCGAGCTCGCTCCAGGCAATGAGAGGAATGCGACGGTTTGGGAAAGTACAAGGTCAGGCTAGTTCACAGGTGTAGGGTCGTGTGAGGTCATTCGGGACCATGCAGGGCATGTCAGATCCGAGCTATGCGAGACTAACTGTCGTATTCGGTGAGAAAGCGTTCGAAGTCATCCATGGTCGTTTGAAGTTCGACGATGTTTTTAGTTCATACAAGTCATGCAAGGCACAGGAGATTAGGGATCAGGTTACATTGTACACCCTCTATGTGATTTGTGAACAATGTTGTTTCTATGTGAATGTGGTGAGCATATGTCCACTGAACATTTGTGAAAATGTGTGTGCAGATACTAAATGTCAATCGATCGTTTTGTGCATGGATGGCAGATGGATCGGCGAGGTTTGGGCTAGGTCTTTATCCGTCGTATTTTGCCGGATAGCCAGTTCGAGATATTACTGTAATACTCATGCAACAGTTAGCGTAGAACCTAGCACAGATGTGCTTCAGCCATGTAACTATTGGATCCGAATGTTGATGTGGTGGCAACATGGTAGACTGCAAGTGAGCGCAACGTTGACAATGTCATCACAAGGCAGCGCTACTGAAACTTCCGAGCGTCGATGACCGAAAAAGTACAAGAGTAAATAGGCTGCTGGATATGCATCATACCTAGTCATGAAGAGAACAACTAAATGGTTCTGATTGAATGTCGCGTGACCGCCGTGACTGTTTTGCAATGTAACAAATATACTCGTCTTTGATTGTCGTGCTCCTAAAGGTAAACGCCATGGCACAAAAGAGATCTCCTTAGACCGTAATGAGTGTACAAATCGTGGGTTCCTCGTTGAAACTGTATGCGAATTCGTGATCTCTGTCGGCTTCGTAACATTATAAAAAGAGCAGTTTTGTTTGTCTCTGGAGAGGAAATAGCACAGGAACCAAAAAGTTTGCGGGACAATTTTATCTTTCAGTTTTGCAGTGGTCGATACTAAATTAAAATCGAGGACAATTCAAAGAACATGAAAAATTGATATCACCTGAGTAACACCAGCAGATCAATTATTACCTAAGATGGGCGTGTATCTTTTAAACACATTGTAACACATATGTATCCTGTCAATATGTTTCAAATGCACCTGTGTGAACAATAGCTGAAATAAAAACGTAAAAGCTGGAGAGAACAGAAAAAAACTACGAACGGCCTAATGACGTGACAGGGAATTTAAACATTTGAATTCGATTAAAAAAAATATGTGAGAGATAGAAAAGATATGATTGTCATAAAACATAAAACTGTCCCCTACACTCTTGTCAGGACTCCTCCCAAATTGTCTCGTGTCGTGCCGTCCCCATTCCTGTATACCGCTCAGCGTCGCCCCTTCCCTTATTCTCCAGACGTCCGTTTACCGTTTCAGTGCCATCCCCTCCGCTCCAGACCTCTTGTCCGTCGTTCAGTGCCGTCCCCTTCCTCCCCAGACCTCTGTCTGCCGTTCAGTGCCGTCCCCCTCCCTTCCTCCCCAGACCTCTACCTGCCGTTCAGTGCCGTCCCCTTCCCTTCCTCCCCAGACCTCTGCTGTCTAGTGCCGTCCCCCTCAGAGAAACATAACACAAGGCACATTGCCAGCTCGCCTTAATTATCATTTTATTCTTGTTTTATGAAAAGAAATTCGTACACTCGACAGGTTGCAAAAATGTTTTACATCTATGCATGGATCTTTTACGATGCCAAGTCAACGCGAAAAAGTTGCACATCGACATCCAGCAAACTTCAACCTTTTCCACGGCAGCTAACTAGCTAACCAAACGAATATCGAGTCGTTTGGATGAACAACGCTTTACCTTCATACGAGTTTGCTGTTAAGTCACTCAGTCCATGCCCAATCCGAACAATTGGTCCACCACGGTCTCGTGCGTTAACCGACTCATAGCTCACTCAGGAGTCAGGAAACTCACGGTTTCAGGGGCGCTAGCGGTACAACTTCGCGACAGGATCTCGAACGAGTCCCATCCGGTCCCACAACAGCAACAAGGCAGCCTGCTGACGGTACAGCTTCACAGCAGAAACTCCTACCAGCTCGTCTCACCAGCGCACGACGCGGGGAGAGAGCTCTAAGCGAGCCTCCCTCCGGTCCGCCGAACGGTAGCCCCCAGCCATCCTCTCCCAATCCCACACGACTCACTGCAGCGCCCGATGAGAACCAGGCGACAGCAACGACACCTACCGACCCTTGGCGCCCTTCCGTCCCTTGCCGGCCTTCTTGGCGATCGCCTTCTTCTGCTTCTCGCCCTTCTTTGTGTTGGGGATCCACCGCTTCTTGCCGCCCTTCTTGGGTTTGTCCTCCTTGCTGGCAGCACGTCTGTGAAAGAGAGGACGATTGAGAGTTAGACAGAGCAGCATGATCTGAGGCACAACATTTGGATGCTATCCTTTTCTGAAGGAACTACAGGAATCAAAACGCACACCGTTAAATTTGGCAAATGGCACAAAGTCACACAAAGGAATTCTCCTTATTTATTCGTTTTGCACCGATGTATCGATTTCAGCACCACCCCTCCCCTTCCACGCCACCCTTCCATCCCGCCTCTCCCTCTTCCTCTCCATCACTAACTCATCTGTGCACCCCTAACCTTCCATCTTCCTCCCCACCCCGTCCATCCCCTCTCAACACTCACTCTCGCTGTTCCTGGTGTATCAGCCGGTTGGCCGCCTTCTCTGTGTCCACCACGGCTCCCTTTTCCTTCCGTCCCAGGTTCTGCAGCAGCTCCAGCTGCCCGCGCACCTCGCCGCGAGTGTCGCCCACGGCGGGAGCGAACTGACGCCGCTTTCCGCGCTCCTTGGTCGGCGCGTCCCGGGGCAGACGCTGGCTGAACTTGCCCAGAGAGGCGGTGCTGCGCCGGGCCAGTGCAGCCGCCTCTGTCAACTGTGGGAGGGGGAGAGGAGGAGAGGGGTTAGTGAGAGGCAAAGACTAGGAGAAGGTAAAAAGTTTTTGTTGGGTCGGGTTACAGTGTAGCTGCTATGGTAATGGAACTGTAGGTGTCGACATTTATGCCACGATTTAGTCATAGTAAATGTTAGCAAATTATATTGACTGTATCCCGCACGAAAAAAATCAACATGCTAATTACACATCGCTTATGATTGTAAAGTCATCAACTGGAACGGCGTCAAGACTCATCGAACAAATATGATCATCACACATTGACATATTGATGGCAATTGTTATAAACGTGAGAGTAATTTGCGCATATGTGCCAAACTGATTCTCAAGTACCCAACCCTCTCCCGATCACCAATATCCCCGTCTACAGAGCCGGCCGGTCCGCTCACCTCTGAAGTGCTGCTCTTAGTCACGTCCTTGGGCGTGACGCCCACCGTGGGCACCTTCATGTTCCGCTTGACGTTCCTCAGTCGCTGCAGCTCGTTCTTGGCAACACGCTCACGCTTCTTCTCCGCAGCCTGTGGCGCGAAAAGGAAATAAAAATTACTACTGGAAGCGAGTGTAGAGTGTAGACAGGACAGAAGACGGGAACGAAGACATTTCCTTCGGTTTGTTCGAATAAAACTTTTTCCATTCTTTACTAATCAAAGACGATCGAGTAAAAACTAAAAAGACACATCACACATTCGAAACAAATTCAACAAGGCATCCCAAAGTAATTTTAATGATTGTATAATTGGCTTCAATATCAGACTTGTGCGAGCAGCACCAGCAGCTGGCGCTAGCTTCCAGCTTCAACAGCTAACGCACACAGCAAGTACCTCAGCAGCCTTTCAAACACCATTCGGTACGCACCTTGGCGAACATGTCGGTGTTGGGGTCCACGTTGGCGGGCACCTCCATAACCCAGTTCTTCTCTCGGTCGGCCTGCGCCTTCTTGGCTCCGTACCGGGGCACCCAGCGCTGAAACACGGGACAGGGGGAGCGGTGTTAGCTGTGGGGTCGAATGGTCAAAGCTTCGGTAACGAATCTGTGCGATATAATCGGAGTCAAATTTATCTATAAGAAACATTGGTTGAAAAGAGTGAGCAGAGTCAGCCGAAGTTTCGTGAGAATTACAGACAATACTTCCGAAGATAAATACCTGTTGATATGAAACCATTTGACATCGATGACATGCACACAAATATGAAAATTCTACGATGCAGGTTACGCAATGCAATATCGGATATGCGAGTACAAAAGAGCACACGCCATTCATTGTCTTCTATTAGCGGCTCACGTTGCGTTTCAGTTGACCGGTCATTTGACGGTAAATTTACCTTGAGCTCGGTATCCCAGATTTTCTTTCCCTTCTTGTTTCTGGAGATGCCCTTGGCTTTGGCGTATTCCTCCCACTTGGTGAGTGGCTTTGGCTTGGGCGCCGGCTTCTCTCGAGGGATTCTGTCAGCGGCAAATGATCAAATGAAATCATTGTGCATTGCCGTTTGTACAACGATAGATATAGGGCACGAAACAAAATGAGCACAAGCAAGCTCTGCTTTCTACTGTCGATTTAGCAGCTCATGTCCAACGTTTATCACAGCCAAACCGTGCCACTGTCTGTCCCTCACAAGTGAATAGGTGCCTTCTGACTTATACCGGTAACAGCTGCTCCCACCAACTGTGGACTAGCTGCAGAAGTCATGCATCGTGCCCAGAGGGCTGAGCTTTTGTCCAAAACCAACAAGAGTCCAATGTCCTAGTCCTACCAAGTGAGCTAGGTAGGGACAATCCACCTGCTCAAAACATTTAATCTTTATTTCTTTTAAAAAATGTCCAGACAACACACCTCAGCTGTGCTGCCGGCAGATTGACTGTGGTGACGTCATCTTTGGTCTGAGTCGGCAGCTGGTACAGGCGGTTGAACAGCAGCTGGCAGTTGTCTCTGGCGAGCCGCTGCAGGTAGCCATCACGGTCGGCACTGCTGGGCAGAACACAGCATAAGTAATGCAGGAAGAAAATGATGTGTCAAGAGAAGTCCAGAAACTGTTCCTCAAATACCACAAAAACAAAGTATTTGCTGAGAACATCAGGACAGTGAGAGATAAGCAGCTTCAGAAATAACAACACAAATAAAAATAACTGATGCAAAGCACATAAGAAACTCACTGTAAAGCATCATGGTCCAGAGGGTTAGGGTCTGATGCCAGCAACAGTCCAATATCATATTCTAAGTCCACCTCCTTTTCCACGTCAGTCGGCTTGACCTTCTTGGCATCCTCTTCTATCTGGCTAAGAACTGCCAGAGCACGATCCATTGCAGCTTATTGAGATTGCCTGAAAAGCCAAGTAAACATGTCACAAATGTCAAACATAAGCAAGCATGTGATGACAATGTAAAGACATCATGGCAGTTGAGAATGATGTAGTATGTATACATCATCATATACACTAAATGCCTTTTGATCTGAGGCCAGTTTTACCAACAGGAAAATAGCCTCCTGCCAGAATTTCTTGCCTAAAGATCACTTCACAGTTCACAGCAAACTGTACACGTAATGGGCAAGTAAGCGAAGAGGGCTTTATGGTTTACTCCATATGTAAAGCATTCCTATGGCAAAAACTTTCGGCAGGTGCCTATTTTCTGATGGTAAAACTGGCCTCTGGGTGAATGTCAAATTTTGCTTTCAATGCTTAGGTATAAGTAGGTAGGTAGGATCTAACGAGAACGCTAAATTGCAAGTTTACTTGCCCTTAGGAAGATGATAAAGCTGTTTGAAAACGAGGCAGATCAATTTAATATTAATACATTAATGGAATTTGTAGTCCTCAGTCGCATCCTTCGATAACCCAGGGGGATGTCGTCCCGGTTCTCCCCATGTATTATTCGCCAATCAGCTTAACACTACCAGTGACGTCACTGGTGGATCGCCAATCGCGGCCGGCCGGCCGGCCGGGCCCGTAGAAGGCCAAACGCAGACGTTTTCAGAAAAGCGTAAGCCGTATAGATACAGTCGCGGATGGAGTTTTGCTGTGATTCGGCTCTCCAAGAGTGCATCAGCGGACCAGAACCCGGATAAAGGTCATAGTGAACCGGCATCTGATAAAATCCGCTCACGGCTTAGCAGCCGACTTCGACCCTTCGCCCTCGTAAAGCACAAAAGCTTGCCGGCCGGTCATCAATCCACCTGCATCTCAATGCCGTATACATAAAGGCTGCATCTCATCTCCTTACTGCCTATATCGACCAGTTACTGCAGCCGTTCTGGAGCGGCTCACGTCCGATAACACGCCGGGCGTGCGCTAGCCGCCGGTGCTAAGCGCTACCATTGAGTGCGCAGGGGTGGATTTTTATATTAAGTTGGGGTTGCACGTGCAACCCCAACTTTGAATTTTGCAACCCCAACATCGGTTTGTGCAACCCCAACTTTACAACTGAAATAAATCGGCGGGCGCCTCGAATGGTGCCGCCCCCATAACCCTGAGCCATCACAAAACTCTATGCCACCCGTTGACTTGGCACCATCTTTCAAAAGAGCCCTCCCCATCATGAAGCAATAGTCACCCCTCAACTATCTATTGTAGTTGCCGCCTCCTCAGACCTCAAATGTAGGTGCCGCTCCCTCGAATGTAGGTGCCGCCCCCTCGAATGCAAGTGCCGCCCCTCGAATGTAGGTGCCGCCCCCTCAAACGTAAGTGCCGCCCCCTCCAATGTAGGTGCCGCCCCCTCGAATGTAGGCGCCGCCCATTAAATGTAGGCGCCACCCCCTCGAATGTAGGTGCCACCCCCTCGAATGTTGGTGCCGCCCCTCAAATGTACCTAAATGCCGCCCCTCGAATGTAGGTGCCGCCCCCTCGAATGTAAGTGCCGCCCCCTCAAATGTTAGTGCCGCCCCCTCCCTCGAATGTAGATTCCGGCCCTCCTCGAATGTAAGTGCCGCCCCCTCGAATGTAGGTGCCGCCCCCTCGAATGTTGGTGCGAGAATGTGGGTGCCGCCCCCTCAAATGTAAATGTCATCCCTCGAATGTAGGCGCTGTCTCCTCGAATGTAGGTGCCGCCCCCTCAAATGTTAGTGCCGCCCCCTCGAATGTAGGTGCCGGCCCTCCTCGAATGCAGGTGCCGCCCCCTCGAATGTAGGTGCTGGCCCTCCTCGAATGTAGGTGCCGCCCCCTCGAATTTAGGTGCCGCCCCCTCGAATGAAGGTGCCGCGCCGCCCCCTCAAATGTCGGCCCCGGCCACTTATGCATAGGTGTCATCGGTCATCCCATAAAATGTAGGTGCCGTCCCTTCGAATGTAGATGGCACCCCCTAGGGTGTAGCTGCCGCCCCCTAAGGCCTAGTTGCAGTGCAGCCCCCTCAAATGTAGGTGCCACCCCCTAAGTGTAGGTGCCACCCCTTGAAAGGGGTGCCTTTCCCTCACATGTAGATAGATGCCGCCCCCCCCCCATGCGTGGGTGCCGCCCCTCAAGTTTGTGTGCCGTCCCTCAAGTTAGGGTGCTGCCCATAAAATGTAGGTGCCGCCCCCTCTAAGTGTAGGCGCTGCCGCCTCAAGTGCAAATGCCATCGCCGCCCCCTCTAATGTAGGTACAGCCCACCGCTAAAGTAATGTGTGGTTTTACCAATCTCAATGGATGGCTTTGACTGTCGATTTTTTAATGCGGAGTGATCGAAAAGAAGACGTCAATAGATAAAGTTGCAGCTGCAAGGACAACGATACAGGCTAGCTACATTCAAAGTTTCATGGTGGTCTGGCTAATCATTCCTAAGCTTCAGAAGCAGAACATACCCAGGACTGAAACCGCACATTACTTATGCTGTGGACTGTACTACCCTCCTCTCAAGAGCTTGAGCTGTCACAAGGCCGTATAGAGCTGTCGGACATGCAAAAATGACCAGTTAAAAAATCGTGGATTTCGATTCCTGGTGCGCCGCTCACCGCTCAGTGGGGGGTGGGGGTGGTGCCCAGTGGAGGTCGCAGGGGGCATCAGGGCCATGGCCCCCCAAAGACAAATCAGGGGCCATCATATAATTTGCCCCCTTAAACAACCGATGGGCCTCGATGGGCGTAGGGGCCCTGGCTCTTACCCGATTGTCACGAGGCTCAAGAAACCAACGCCAGGTATTATGTAACAGCCCTCATACCGGTCTTTGAGTTTCCTGACTTCTGAGGGCGCTTCAGTGGCCTTCAAGGGCCCACATCGACCTCTCAGGGCCCTCCACTGGCCCTAAAGCGGCATCAGGAGTCCCCCAACCGGCCTTTGAGGGCCCCACACTGATCTCTTGATGGCCTCATTTCTGTCTCTGGGGTTCAGGACTGACCTTTGGGTGCCGGTCACTAAGAGCCCACATCGACCTCTGTGGGCCTCAAACTGGCCTTTGAGGGCCCTGTACTGGTCTCGAGCGCTCCCAAGTAGACCCAAACTGGTCTCTGGGGGTTCACGCCTCTAATGGCCTCATTTCTTTTTCTGGGGGCCCAAGACTGGCCTTTGGGTGTCCCCGAGGGCCGTACTGACTTCTGAAGGCCCGATGCCGGTCTCTAAGGGTCCACATCGGCCTCTGAGGGCCCTATGCTGACCTCTGGGGTCCAACACCGACCCCTGCTGGTCAGCGGTCAGCGGCTGGGGTCAGCGGGCGCGGTTGGAATGTGGACCAGTCTTGTTCGAGACACAATGCAAGCGGGAGCCCTACTGTCGCTTATAACAGGCCCCACACTGGACTCTGAGGGCCCCAAACTGGCCTCAATGGGCCCCAGCCGGTCTATGGGGTCTCTACACCGCCACTGATGGCCCTATTATGGTCTCTGGGGTGTCAGGTTAGTCTGGTCCCTGAGGGCCCACATCGGCCTCTGAGCCTGGGGCCCCATACAGGCCTTTGAGGGCCAATACTGGTCTTTGAGGGCCCTACACCGACCTCTGAGGGCCCCGAATCGGGCTTCTCTGAGGGACCCACACTAGCCTCTGATGAACCCATTCCGGTCGCTGGGGGCTCAAGATTGAACTTTGGGTGCCTCGCACTGGGCTCTGAGGGCCCACATTGACCTCCGAGAGCTCCACACTGGCCTGTAAGGGATCATATTGGGCTGGCCTCTGATGACCAAATGGTTTTGGAGGGCCAGTACAGGCCAGTGGCCACTCAGGGTCCCAATTCCAAACCGGCTTTTGAGGGCCATAACCGGCATCTGATGGACCGAACCGGACCCTGGTGGCCCAAAACAGGTCTCAGAGGGCCCCGCACCAGACTCTGAGAGTCCCATCTTTAGTCTCTGTGGTCCAAGGAAAAACTTTTGGCGTTTCATGCCGTCCTCCGAGGTTCCCTGTCAGTCTCTGTTGGTCCCCATGCCGGAATTTCGGAATTTGAGGGCCGTTATCTCGTCGCAGCGGGCCGGCATTAAGGTCTATTACCATATCGGGGTCACATCGGTTTCTGAGGGCCCATGTCTGCTGCCAAGGGTCCCTGGTCTCTGATAGTTCCATTTAGGTCTTTGAGAGCCCGGGCCAAACCCATCATAGGCGCCTCATGCTATCTTCTTATTCTCTGCCGATCTCGGAGGGCCCCTGTCGATCTGCTTGGCCCGTGCAGGTTTTTAAGGGCGCTGCTAGTCTCTGAGAGCCCCATGTCGTTAGTTGTGTCTATTTTGGGTCGCATTGGCACCACACATGTCTCTTAGGGCCCATACCAGTCAAGGGGTCCCACATTGACCTCTCAAGGACCAACGCTGGCCTCAAGGGCTCACACCACCTCAGAGGTTCCGAACTGGCCTTTGACGACCCCGCACTGGCCTTTGATGACCCCGGGCCTGCACTGACCTCTGATGGCTCAAGCAGGTCTCGTAAGACCCATGTTGGAGTTCAAAGACCCATACTGCTGTGCGAGGTCTCACCCGATTTATGAGGGTCAATCTCAATACTGGCCTTAAATGATCTTACGCCGGGCTTATATAAGGGTCTCATACTGGTTTCAGAAGTTTTCCGCTACTTACGAAAAACTTCAGGGGGAGGGGGCGGATATTCGCCCCCCCCCCTCCGCGGTACGCGGGTTAAGCTAACATACCGCCCCCCAGCGAGGGTCTACAGGGGCCCCTTTGCCAATTCACCCCCCCCCCCCAACGCCAAGTTTACGACCGTACCTGGTGGCGCCCACTTCCGGACTATTGCGCCCCTCGGAACCGCTTTGGGCGCCCTTTCAGGGCTGTGCAACCCCAATAAAAAACAAAAAAATCCACCCCTGTGAGTGCGCGTGGCCGACTGCCGCCCCGATGGCGCTGGCCCCCGGCACCGACACCGGCGCGGCGCCGCTGACCCATGGGGGGGGGGGCTGCTAATTTGTTGAGCCGGAATTGGGATAGAAGCCGGTATGGGATTGGAATAGAAACTCAGCGAGACTAAGGGATTGTGTTGTGCCTTCGGTAGGCCCCCAAAAATCACCGGTGTAGTGCCCTCAGGGCCGCCGGTTATGAAGCCTTTGGAGGCACTCGTGTGGGCCCTCACAGGTAGGTACCGGTGTGAGGCCCTGAGACATTGGTGCGGGGCCCCAGAGGTGCCGCTGTGGGCCCTCTGAGTCTGAGGTGCTAGTGTGTGGCCCTCAGAGGCGCCGGTGAGGGTCCTCACAGTTGCCATTGTGGGCCCTCAGAGACACTGCAGTGTGGGGTCATCACAGTCTGGTGTGGGACCCTTAGAGCTGCTGGCTCGAACTCTTTATAAGCCGACAGGGGCTCTCAGAGACCGACAAGGGGCCCTCAAGAGGTCTGCGGTGTCTTCAGGAGCCCTGTGGAGTCCTCAGAGACCAGCAAGGTACTCTCAGACGCCGGCGGGGGCCCTCAGAGTCGTCGGTGTGGGGCCCTCAAAAGTCACCGGTGAGTGGCCGTCCGATGCGAAGGTCCCGTCTTAGGCCGTCAGAGGCTCCGGCGTTGAGCCCTCAGAGCCGCCGATATATGGCCTTAAGAAGCACTGGTTTGGGCCTTTGGAACTTCATTTAGGGGTGTCGGTTGAACTCAGAGGTGGCAGCAAAGAGGTGGCAGTGTGGGGCCCTCAGCTGGGCACCGGTTTGGGGCTTTCACAGCCGCCGGCGAGGGCCCTCGCAGGCGCCGTTATGGGGGCCTTCAACCATTGGTTTAAGGGGTCATCACAGGCGTGTGTGGAACCCTTAGAGCTGCTGGTCCTTGATAAGGGCCCTCAGAGGTCGCCAATGGGCCCTGAGAGGCCGGCAAGGGGCCTTCAAATGCCGACAAGAAACAATAAAAAGCCGGTGTGTGGCTCTTATGGAGAGAAGTGTGGCTATTCGGAGCACATAAGGTGTTCTTTCGAGCCCTGTGGGGCCCTTCTGAGTCGAAAATGCCATCGTGGACCCTCAGCCGCCAATTGGCGTCGCAGGGCCCCTCGGGCCCGAGAGGCCCCCTGATCCGATGGGGGCACGTGCCCCCTGCCTCCCCCCCTCCGGGTGCAGATAGAGAATGAAATCGGCTTGCGGGACACAACAATTGCAATCGTTCCTTCTCCCGTCGCGAGGTCGCCCATCCGACCCATATCCCAAGATTGTCAACCCTTGGGCTCGGGTCGGCAATGTATCGGCAAGGAAATTAGCTTTAGATGGGTAAAAAAGTTATTAGTTGTCGTTACGTTCAGTAATAACAACGATAAAGTACCAAATGTACCCGACGTACGGCTTGGAGCCGGGCGCCGCGCGGTCTCCACCAGTGACGTCACGCTAATGCTTAGCGACCGGTCCATTGAAAATTGCGGGATGATTCTACCTCTCTTATACGGCCTTGCGATAACCCAAGCGATAAACAAGCAATAAAAATAGTTTCTTTCCAATCTTCGCAAAACTCACGTGTTGGTGAATGGCTCAGTTGCGGCAGTTTTGTCGATTTACTTCTGGTTCTCCTCAAGTGTTTTTTCATGTATTTTTCATTAGAGATCTTCAAGCTTGTTCGCAAAACAATTTTTCTGGAATAAAACATTTAAAAAAATAAATAGTTTTCGAATTAAATTTGGATGTGTTCAATCTCTTATTAATATCATTCAAAAATAATTCCAGATCATATGGCCAGCTGTTGCTCCACAAAAAAGGTCGACACATTTGACGAATGTGTTACAAATGACCGTGTCAGAATCTTGAAAGGATTAATACCTAAAAATTCCTGTTTTTCCGGTTTTCTGAGGCGAGGTTTCTCCGCATTAACTTGTTCAGGTGAGGATTCCTTTCTATGATCGCCCACTGGATCTAGAAGTTACTTTTTACCCTCCAATGCTTGCTGTTTATTGTTCGATAGCTGAAGTTGAAGCGGCAAGTCAAAGTGTCGAGGTCGATGCTATTCTAGTTGAGATTCTCCCATTTCCAGGGATTTCGGGGTATGTTACTATTTTTACATCTCAATCTCAAGGTAGAATATGTGTAAGTGTATACCATCTGCCATTGTGCTTGTTTTGCCATTCTAAATATCTAAATGCTGCTAATTACCATTAATTTTCACATCACGAAAGCATTGGAAGATAACTACTAATGGGGCCTTTTATAATGGATGGTTGGGACTAGTCTAAATTTGTCCAAATTGTGACTGCTCATGTGCAACTCTTCCCACAGTTGAACCTTCTTATAATCTGTCAGTTGTGACAGGACACTGAACACTGAACAGCATCATGGGCGACAACCCTCCAAGCAAGCCAACCGAGATAGTGGATGATCCAGATGACCCAGAGCTGAGCAAACTGCTGGACAGCGCTCTAGCCGACTTTGGGCGGCCCACTCCTACTGCTCCTGTCCCAGCCACAGCCGCCCCTGCTGCAGCTGTACAGACAGCGACTGGCGGTGGCGAGCCAGCGAAGCAAGAGGGAGTTAAGGATGCCTACAAAGTATTTGAAGAGGCAATGAAGCAGGCACTGCAGGTATGTTCTGAGTTTTTGACTGGCTGGGAAGTATGAGGTGTGATTCATGATTTTATAGGCATTTTTTCATTTTGCTGATGAATTATTCTAGACAGCTGCCAGTGGGCTTTGTATTTTGTGTGTTACAAGTGGTTTCTGTGCAATCTCTGCCTCCATTTTCTAGTTAGTTTTGTCCCTGATTTGGTAGGGTCTGTGGCCTGGCCCTTTGTCATTGCTTAGTATTGTTTATACTATCAGATCATCTTTATCACTAATCACTATTATGGAGGTGATTCCTACTCATCATAGTCTGGTCTCTTGTCTCTGCTTTGGTCTCTAGTCTGGTCTTGGCTTGTCACTCACTTGCCTTCTATCAAACTCTGGCTTGTGGTCCCAGGTCATTGCCTCAGTCCAGCGCAGAGGAGACGAGTGGACCAGTGCTGACCCCTCATCCTCTCTCCCTCCTCCCAGGCAGGACCGGACTCTGCCTCTGCCTCTGCGTCCGGCGGCGGCGGTGACGCGGCGTTTTCAGCTCTGATGAGCTCGCTCGCCGAGGAGATGGCCAAAACCGAGGTGGAGGGAGCGGAGGATCCCCTGGCCAAGACTCTGGCAGATCTGTCCAAAAATATGTCCTCAGATGCGGAGAAGGTGAGTACGAGAAATGACGAAAACGCGAGAAAGAAGAACACAAATGCTTAATTTGGTTTTTAATGGAAAAGTCCAGACACTTTGAGGGGCCGCGCAATAAACATGACGAGTGCTGGGTACGAACTGACGAAAAGCCCTGCTTTGAGCATCGTCCTTGTTCACTATCAGCCTTGCTTGCGACGACAGTGGCCGGTCATCGTTTATTGGTGCGATCACGGCTTAGATCGGGTAGGTAATGACGGTAATCGGGACACATCTTCTGATTATGATTTAGCGCAGAAGTTCTACCGTACCTAGTCATACTTCAGAGATCTGTCGATAGAGGGCAGGACCCATGCAACTCGTCGACTCAAACTAGGCAGCACACGAAGCTCGCAACGCAGCACACTTTATCATGCAGGCGGGTGACTCAGTACCTGCAACCCATGTGTCCTTTGTCCATGCTGTCTCTTGTTAACACTAACCCCTCCCCCCCTCCCCCCGACAGATGGGAGGAGAGCCGGATATCTCGGAGCTCCTGAAGGCGTTCTCCGGCTCTGGCGACGGGCCCGACGCCGGCGCCCTCGACTCCTTCATGCCGCTGATGCAGACGGTCATGTCTAGTATCCTCTCCAAAGATGTGCTGTACCCGTCGCTCAAAGACGTGGCAGGGAGGTACCCGGCGTGGTTGGAAGCCAACTCTAGCTCACTGTCTACAGAGGATAAGGATCGGTATAGCCAACAACACCGTCTCATGGTAGAAGTATGTGAAGTGTTTGAGGAGGAAGGAGACGCCGCGGCTTCCGGAAAGCAGGACCGTGTGTTTGCGTTGATGCAGAAGATGCAGGCGCTCGGACAGCCGCCGAAGGAGCTGGTGGGTGAGTCGGATCTGGGCATCACATTCGACGAGGAGGGCAACCCCCGACTGCCGGCGGGACTGGGTCCGGCCAGCGGGGCAGAGTGTGCGATCATGTAGCGGGGCGGAGGGCTGGGCTGGGCTGGGTGGGCTGGTTGGTAGCTTAGTTAGGTATGAACACGTCTGGATGTGATGTCTTTGTACCGGGAAGAGGGGAATGTTTGAGCAGGCGATTTGATAGTGAATATGATAACCTACAATGGTGAATGTTATGATGAGTGGTGGTTTGCAGCTGGTGTGAAAGTTGTTATTGAGATTATCGTCAGTGTTTGTTTGGTGATGTCTGGTGATGTCTTGGAAGTTTGTAAAAGGTTCATTTATCCTTATGCTCGTTTTAAGTTATACGTCTGAGATATTGCTCACTGGAACTCAATCTCAGATCAAGTATACCTACGTCGAGGATTGCCATGGAAGTGACACCAAAGCCTTATAATAAACCCCATGTCATGTCTAAAGCCATTGCCTTCATCGGTGTCAGGTCAACACAGAAACGAATGGGCGATACACCCTTCAGTTAACGTCAAAGAACCTCGTGTTGCGTGTCGAGGATTATTTTCTATTAGCCGTCTTGATGGCTATAGAGCGAATACCGACTTTCGCTTATGATCGATTAGCCATGAACAAAGCAGCGGTGAGGTGAGGCGGCAAAGTATGCAGTTGCGTGGTGATGGGTATGGCGGAATACTGCGCACTTGAGCTGACGTGGGACTAAATGGCTCTCTGCTGGCTTTGACGTCAAAGGATATGCTACTTTGAAGCAGGCTTTGAAATACTGCGTGGCTGGGCGAGGAGTAATGTTTTTATGTAGTTTTCAAACAATGGCGAGTTTTGGTAGGTGCAAGAGAGAAACGTTTCCCAGGCCAACATTTGCTCTTCAATCACTTGAAGGCCACGTGGCCACTTGTTTGTGGTGAAGTGGATGGAGGTCACAAAATGCCGCTATCCTTTCTTAGCAGTGTCCGAGAAACAAAATGTTTTGATGAGGCATTTAGTTATTGACTTGTGGTTCTAATTTATGTCACTAAAATTAATTGGATTTGGTCATTCCTTATAATGTTTCGGGCGGGGTTCTTTTCTTCGAATGAACAGATAATATCAGGATGCTTTGATATCTAACAGTATATAGGGGAGAGTGGGGCAAAGCGGCCACCCTAACGCTTCTCACGATGCCAACGCTTGATTTTTAAACTTGGAAAGATTCTTTCTATACCAATGTGATCCCTATTAAGTTGCCTTTTATTTCAACTGCGTTTTATTTCCAAAGGCGTTCACATATGAAAGATATTGACAAAACTTTAAACCTATGCATATTGGCCACTTTGCCCCATACCCTGGGGCAAAGCGGCCACCGGCGTTTTCTCAAGTCCCGATATGAGAAACAAAATAGTTGCCTCGTGTACGACTAGGGTATTTGATGGTGATAAGGTTAAGCGAGGATGGATGTTTACTTTATCATCTTCCACCTGTAGGTAAACAAAGAAAGGATTTTCATGAAAATAAACATTTAATTGCATTATTTGGTAACTCATGCAACTGAAAAGTGGCCAAGATGAATGCATGACGACACATTTGAAGATCAATAATGTTTTTTATCCAGATGGAAGCAACTTATGGCCAATTGGGGGGTGGCCACTTTGCCCCGGCCACTTTGCCCCGCGCATACCGTCCGAGTCAAAAATATTCCAGCTTAGCTATTGGTGGGGTAAAAGACATTAAAATTGGTAGAATACATGTACGATAACCATGCAATGCACGGACAAGAACGCTTATAAAAATTCCAAACGGTTGTGGAATAACATAACATTTAAAAATTGTAAACATAGTTGGTAACCTGGCAAGAAATGCTTTTCCGTGTTTCACAGAACAATGGTGATGGGCCTGAAACCCCGGTCTGGCTCATTCGAACGACCGTGAAGAGAAGCATAATTGGAAACCATAAATTTGAACTGACGCCAGCTATGAAGGGCTAAAACGATGGGTGGCCGCTTTGCCCCGGGTGGCCGCTTTGCCCCACTCTCCCCTAGCAGCGTAACAGTTTCTTCCCTAGCTCGCGAAAAAAGGTCAGTTTATATGCTGTTATTTGTCATACCGAGCCCTGTGGTCGACATCGACTGGTTGACTGCAGTAACGTGCACCGTCGTGAAAAGTGCCCATCGAAGCAAGCCCAAATGTGGGCGGCAACTAAAAGTGGGCAGCTGTTGAGTTTTTTCTCGTTATGCTGGTTGCTTTGGGTAAGCGGCGAATGCCTTGCATTTATTTATCATCAGAGGGCTTAGCTGCTGGGCCATGCTGGTATCGGGACTTATCATTTTTTGGTACGCATTAGAAGCGATTGTGTGTCTTATCCAAGTTGTTGTTCAAATATGAGCTTTTTATGCACCTCACTTAAACCCGGATTCAGATTAGCGTGTGTGAACCGCCAATACGCTTTTATGCTGTGATCAATCAAAATTGCCTGGAGACGTGTTAGCTTTGTTATGTTGTGTTAATAAAGCACGCTGTTTTCAGCCCGGATATGTTAATTTCAACTCTAGCACTCTGAATACAGCATGCAATATCGCTCAATAAAATGTATGGAACAATAGAATGGAAATGTCTTTCAGCCTTTCATCAGCGTAGGGTTAGCTGACGAACATATTGATGATTTGAGGCGAAAGTGGAACCTGTAGTATCTACGTTTTGTCAATTTCTAACGTAGGTATTTATGATCGCATGGTGATAATTAGGATGACAGAAGAGCAATTTAGGAAGCACCATCAAGGAAGATCTGGAAGCATGTTCCCTCATCATCAAGTAAACCAAGCAGTAAATGAAATAACATTAACCCGCGCCCTGCTGGGGGGGGGGTGTTTGAACACCCCCCCTTGTCGTTTTTCGCGAATATCTCAAAAACGGCGGCGCGGAGCGCCGCCGTTTTTGGTACACCTTATCATACATCAATTTTACACATGTTGTGAAAATTTCAGACCCAGGTCATTCAAGGTCAGGTCACCAGGTCACTTGAAGTGACCTCACCTCATAAAAACTTTCAATGTCTGTCATAGCTACACCGAGTGACCGATCGCTTTGAAACTTTCAGCGATTGCTAAGAGCAATAGCATGTACAAAATGTATATCTCAGAATTTTGATATCGATGACCTAAGGTCAGGTCAATTTTGCGACCTCCCCATTATAAGTCAATGGGAGAAAATTGAAATGCGCCTCTTTTGGAAGAAAGACATTATAAACACTCCCAAACACCGAATTACAAGTGGTTTAGACACACTGAACTTAAAAATGGTGTCCGTGACCCTTGTTTATGCCCTGAGGTCATCTTAGGTCACGAATGGTATCTAACAGTTTTTCGCAAATAACTTTTGATAGAGGCATGCTAGAGCGATGAAAACGCCTTAGATGTGTTCAGCTCGACGATACGGATCGACTGATATGCAACATGACCCTTTCCGGTCAGGTCATGACCTTGACCTGAGGTCAAATTTTCAAGTTGACCTTTCAAGGTCAAGTTATAGTTCATTCGATGCGTCTTGACGAGAGGAACACGATGCCGGTAAAAGTAAGCTCGTACAAGGCTTGGGTCAAAAGTTATTGCAGAAAAACTGTTTTAAAAAAAATCGGGTATTTTTGCAATATTTGCCCCCTGCAGGCAAAACCGTTGGCGTTAGGTCAAATCTGAGAGAATTATTCAGAAAGGGCGTTAATAGGGCTATCGAATGCGCTTTTCCGCGGCGCTGTAGCTCTATTGGTTCCCGAGTTATGCGTTGGCTTCTTGGAAATTTTCGACATTCGACCTGGAAATCGGCGAAATTTTGCCTTCAATGACCTCTGGTGACCTGACCTTTGACCTGACCAAAAAATTGACCGAAGTGATTTCGTCATTATTTTCGACGCTCTTTCGAACGCTGCCTTCCGCGTATCGCTACGTGGCCCAGGAGCCGAGTTACAAGGGGGGGGGGTGTTCAAACACCCCCCCCAGCAGGGCGTGGAAATCCAGGACCCCCAGCAGGGCGCGGGTTAAACAGCATTATAGTCATGCCGCCGACCAGAATAAATTTGCGCAATCAGGCTCTATCAGGTGCATACCTGGTCAACGCCCACCTAGCCCGCTTTGTTTGGGTCATACTGCTTTTCAACATGCTAATATCTCGTTAGCCCGTCCTCTCGGCTGTGTAGTGTGTAACATAGATATTATCGGAGGCGGGTTTCGCTACAACTAGCAATCATGCAACAGTGGCACTCCGCTCACCGGTTAGCGTTCGCATTGATGTTGTTAGCGACGGCCGACGCCAGTTCTAGAGCTGCCGGTGGTAGGGCCCGTACATTCATGTCCATAACTAACCCCGCCGTCAAAGAATCTGGAGTTGGGTTATGTTTGCGAGACACGCCAGGTTTACTGGCCGTTACAGGGGTAACTGATGGAGGGGGTTGGGCGGGGGCCTGTTTGACACAAGCTGCTCGGTCATTGGTCCAGCGAGGCCGTTAACTCCACTATTACCTCACGGGGTGGTGCAACTACAGTACGCCCGTTATCACGAAGCTCATACCGATCACGGAGAACCTACACTGAAGACAGGCCAGCGGAGCGACCGGAGGTGACATCGCGGTCCGCGATGGAGCTGCGGAAGGCGCTGCTGCCCATCTGGGTATCCGCTCTTCTCAGTCTTCGTCTCTGTCTTGCTGAAGATGTCCTGGCGGGAGACCCTCTGGGGGGTCGTTTCCAACACAAGGCCGGGATTCAGCTCCTGAGCTCATCCGTACTTCACACGGTATCTGCCGGCTCCTTCCTCCAGTGTTCAATGCACTGTCTTGGCGTGGCCCAATGCAAGGGCGCTAACTTCCGCCCATCAGTGGACGGCTCTCCAGGTGGTGACTGCGACCTACTAGAGACCCAGGATGGCTCTTATGAGATCTCCACTACTAACTCTGTGGCCATGCGCCTCCCGGGCAGCTGCCGGGGTTTGAGGAACGTCCAGTATCGCTCTGACGGCGTGTACCGCCACCGCGGCCTGCCGGCGCCCCTCTACTGTGACATGACGCTGAACACAGGTGGGTGGACGCTGCTGACCGCGGCCGTCTCTAACGAGGGATGGACGCTGGACTATGTTATCGAGAGACGCCGAGACACGCCCGGCATCGATATTGACTACTCCATTCTCGGACTGGGCGAGCAGATTCTTGGATTCAGCTACAGGAGCACGTATAAATACAGGTGAGTGGTTGGGCTTGGGCACAATTAAATGTTTTAGAGCATGCTTATTGCTTATAATTTGCATGCTGAGCGTACATGGTGAAGCAGCTTCGTTGTGAGTTGAGCTTTGATTTAGGTGGCTTCGACTGGCAATGCTATTGTTATGTAGCGACTTGAAAAGTATGGTGACGGAAATTTGTAGCCAGCTTTATATTTAGGCCTATGAAATTCGCATTTGACTAACATCGGACTCAAATGACGTAAATTGCTTGCTGCTTATAGCCCCGTTCTGACCCAGCACTGACATCTCTCTCCCAGGATCGAGGTCAGCGGCCGACAGCGCTGGGGTGGGATCTGGAAAGCCCCCCGTCGCTACACCCTCACCGGGAGCCACTCGAACCAAACTGAGGGCGTCGAACTGTTCAGAGCGTTTGACAACTGGGAGCCGCGGGTTGACTACACGCCGCTCAACATCGTGCCCTGGGTGAACCGGGGTGGCGCGTTCGAAGGCGGTCCACTGCTCACCACCTGTACGGAGGACGGCACACAGTGGTTTGGTACCCTGGTCACCGCTGTCGTGGCGGAATCTCACGGCGTTTCACCGTGGATTCGTGGCAATTCTGAGGTTAACAGCGGGGCGCGTCTCTACTGGGTGCGCGAACACAACCCCTGGTAGCGGTTTTGCAATGTTTTTGGCGTGTTGATTCGCGGGTCATACGTGAAAACTTGGTTTTACGACGTCACGTCTATGACCGGTGTTGCATAGCGAGTTGCAATTGAAACCATATGCTACTGGCGTAATGCTAGGGCGGTGACGACTATTAATACCACGGATTGTCGTAATTATGTGTGGTCACAACATTGTAGGTAAGTTATTTCTCGTTTGTCGACACAGCAGAAATACCTATTATCAACATTTATATAAGTACAGCAGAAAAAAGACACTGGTTAATATCGGTACGGCCGCGGGTCAGAAAGATGCACTGCTCCCTTTCCGGCATACGGTCGTGATGATATGCCTAGTCGGGCTATCAAAAGTTGAATTGTACGTTACACGACATCGATGTGAATGATATCGTTTGACGTTTGAACTCACTTTGCTTGAGTTCATACGATGACTGAATAAATCTAAGTTCTTGTGTGGCTCGGTTTACTTACCATTTCGACGCATTATTTCAACATCAAGAATTAAACCAGGAGATAAATAAAACATTTTTAACACATCATACGATAATTTCAATTCAGTGCCTGCGCTTAGAAGTCGCCGTGATTGATACTGCCGTAGAGTGCCTTAGTTCCTAACATTGTCAACAGATGTCGCTAGCGGCTGCGCCTGTTGGCTGCTGTGCCGCAAGACACTAAGCTCTCGGCAGGCGGCAGTGTTCGCCATGGGTCGGGCCAGCCCAATGGGCCATGGGCTTGGCTGGGCTACGGGCTGGACTGGGTCCTCAAATATCATGTGGATTAACCCTCGCCCATGTAGGGGGGGGTTGGTGCAACCCCCCCCCCCCTGAGGTTTTTCTTAGCTAGGGGAGAGTGGGGTAATTTGGCCGGTGGTGTAAATTGGCCGCCCCCACCTGTACGATGTCTAATAAAAGTGAGTGAAATAAATCTAGTCTCTATTCATTTGTCATGAGTAGAAATAACTGGAGGACAGATGTCAAAACTTTGCCCCTCGTAGTTTTATTCAAAATTAATAAAACGTTAATTTCATTAGAAAATGGTAACTTTTACTTCTGTTTACAAAATTGTATAACATGTAGTATTTGGGCTAAAAACGAATTCAGACATTATAGCGCCATTCTTGGGGGTGTTCAGCGGTTCCAAGAGCAATTTTATCTAATTCCGTAAAGCCGTGATTACTTTATAGACAAAAATTTTCAGAATGGCAATATGGGGTAATTTGGCCGGGACTAGCGGGGCAACTTGGCCGGTGCGCTCATGGTCACTATGTTGGGACGGCCGAGTTTTCATGGTCAATTGTACCATAAATGACATGATTCATGACCAACTTTGACTACTTTGATGCCTTACTTCCGATTGGTCAACTGTAAGAGCATGTGACGTCATCAAAGGCTACCAAACGTTTTTTGCTAATAAATCCTTGCATAAAAATGGTACAGCCGCACAAATGGTCTCATTCTGTTCAGCTCGCCAAGACGCATCGAATGATATGCATGATGACCTTGAAATCACGTGACCTTGAGGTCAAGCGACCTGATGCAACGTGACCTGAGGTCAACCTTTGACCTGGGCTTCTCAAGGTCAACACATATATCTTTCGATGCGGACTGACGAGAGAATTACGATGGTACTCGAATTTTTGGCCTAGCTTGCTTACTTCAAAAGTTATTCGTAAAAAACTGTGATCGCATCTAGAGCCGCTAATTTGGCTATTTTGACCCCTGTGACCCCTGAGCCAACCTCCAAAATGCGGCAAATGGATCATAGGACACACGTCATTGCTGAATCTGAAGCTGACTCGCAATATAACAGAAAATCCCGACCGCAAACTAACACCGGCCAAATTGCCCCACACCCCCGGCCAAATAACCCTGCTAGTGGGGCAATTTGGCCGCCTTGCAGACCTTTGAAATACGTCACAATTTCAATATAAGTAATTACTCTATCATTTCAAGTTCACTGTCCAGTAAAGTAAAATGAATGCGACACCTGCCAGCGTTGAGAAAATGCAGAAATGTGTCGTCAATTTTAAGTTATATCGTTTTCTAAAAAAAGCGGCCAAATTACCCCACTCTCCCCTACACGCCGAACCGTTTCAGATAGCCTGCTCAAATTTGCAGTACCCTTTGGGCATCCTTTGCGCAACTTTTGGTAAAACAATTTTCTCAAGGTCATGTCAGGTCACGGAGTTATGACGTCATAAAGGGAACAACCTCCGGCCAGATTTACGCTAAATTGGAGATTGCTTCACATTGGTATAAATGCCGACTGACCTGACACACTGATGGATTGTTTTAGAATCACAACTGGCTGATTTGACATTGGCACAATGTCCGTTGACATTTTGAAGGTTACCAAAGGTCAAGGTAAGGTCAGTGACCTCGGTTGACCTGTAATGACTTCTTGCACTTGTATGCCTTTTCGGGGTATTTTGATGCCCTGAATTCGAATTTGCTATCCATTTCAGGCATCATCGGTTGTTTATTGTAGTTCATTTTGGGTCAGGGTCAGGTCAGTGACGTCACACGCCTGACGTGACCCAATGCACAAATGACCTTGCAGACTTCCGATGCTCCCAACGCATCATTTTTAGAGTTATGACATCGAAATATACACCAAACGATAGAGAATTGATCAAGGATCACGATAGTGAAGGTTTCAAGTCGATATCTCTTACCGTTTTGCCGCAATCGGCGCGGAAATCTGAAAAAAATTAGATTTTTCCGAAAATTTGACCTTTGACCGGTCATAAGTAGGTCAAATGTTGACCTAGGCCCAAAAAATATACCACCAATCGCGAGATCTCGTTGAGAGCAATCCGTTGGTTTTTTCCGCTATGCTCTACGACGCTCCGCTTTCAAACGCCAGGGGGGGTCGCACCAACCCCCCCCCCCCTGCATGGGCGAAGGTGGCAAAACACCGTTTACGGGCGAGGGTTAACGAGCTGTGGATGGGCTAGGCCAAGAACGTGGAGTCAGGGGCTCGCAACTGAGACAAAACTTTAACTTCATTGCTTATTACTGTGCAAGACTAAAAAATGAGTTAATAAAGCACGCATGCAATGTGCATCGCAAAAGGTTGTTTCTTTGCTACCTTTGGATACATGTGTGGTGTCAATAATTTTTGATTCATTCCTTTTTGTAGGGCTGGGCCGGGCTGGGCATTGACGCTTTTACCATGAATGGGCTCGGGCCGGGCCGGCTGTGAACCCATGGGCCTGGGCTGGGCTAGAATGGGATTTTGCGGCCCGTGGCGAACACTGGTAGGCGGTTAGGAGTAGGACTAAAACTAGAATCTGATTATCTTTTATTCCCTAAACATACGGTCAAGTGCTAGTCCCTATCATGACCTTTGTCCACGTTTTGACGTAATATTTACAATGTAGCGAACGACTTGGCATAAAATAGACAGTGTTATGAGAGTCTGGCGTTTATTATACCAACACCACGGGGCCATGGACGTCGAGGCGACACTGGCCATGTTTAGAAAGTATCAAATGATACAGTGCCGCCATAGGGTGATGTGCTAATGTACCACGCTGGATTCCGTTACAGCATAAACACATGTAAAAAAAAGATGGTGGCTGAAGAAGATGCATACACAAGAAGATGCATGCATATCACAATAATCTGCATTCTTTGGCACCTTCTAATATACTGCTTACAGCTTATGCATCGTATTTGCATGCCGCTGCATTTTGTAGAGTTATTGCCGATGTGAGGCAGTGTTGACCTTATTTGCTTGCAAACCATGGTCATTATAGCAAAAGTTCACAAACCGATCAGCGTTAAATCTTTTGTGAATATATGCATGTCTGTCATCCACAATGCCATCTTTATCACCCGGCCAAATTAACCTTAGGTCGTATAATTATATGGTCTCCAGCTCCATGATCCATGATACCAAGATAATAATACCGATTGCCGTTCGGAAAAGTCGTGCCTGCTCAGTGGAAGAGAAGGCGAAACGACCCTCTAACAACAGTCACGTGACCTCATCAGATCACGTGACCGAATCGATCACACTGTCTCGGCCTCTGGCTGGGGGGGGGGGGTCAGGAGGGGTGATCTGAATATGCCCTCCCCGGGTGCGGGATGCGGGCCACCGGGTAGCAGTTCGATAGGGAACGCTCGGCAGTCCGCCGCACTGAGGTGAAGTTGTGAGTGTTGTGGATATAACAAGAGCATTGTGTGTGTGTGAGTATAGTAGAGTGGAAGGAATTCAGATAAGGGAGTTTCAGAGGAAGTGTAACAGAGGTGGTTTGGAACTGAAGAACTCAACACAGCGTCACCTCGAGCCAGAAAGGCTACTCATGCGATACGCCCATTGCAATATGACGGACAAGAACATTGTACTGTTGTTGATAAGAATCTAAAGAGTGTAATAGCAATAGTTCATGTCAGTGCATTCAAACAGGCCGAACATTGTGGACCATTCAAACAGACCAAACGGACAGCGAACAATAAACCAACACATCGGAGAGAAGAGACACACACCGTTCAAATAAACCGGCACGGAGAACAAGCCACAAAGATAGGAGCAGTGTACTATCGCCAGAGGCACATCAAGCGAAAGCGAAATAGGTCAAGCGAAATAGGCGTGCTTGTAAGACGGTCATGAACTTATTGAGGCCGTGGCATGAAAGATAATTCTGAAGTGCATGTACAGTTGAACAAAGGCGGCGTGGCTCATTAAACAAGTTCGTCAGCATCGTTCATCAATTCTTTCTACGCAGTTCTAGATACTGGTGACCTTGTGTTCGACCGATATTGTTATCCAAGTAGGAACTGGTCATTGACATTCGCTATCGAAACACTTCACATCATCGTAGTACCGTATAGTGCGTATAGTGCGTGTGCCGTATAGTGCGTGTGCCCGGTCGGAGTGTGGAGCCATTTTTAGGCCTCTCATCGATAAATCAACGCAGGCGGCATATTTTGGGAGGCTCAGTCGACTGAAAACTTATAATCAGCTGCCTTGAGTCCTAGACGGGCGAAAACAACGAGCATCGTCACAAAGCCAGCAAAAAATACTCCGCCGTATAAGTCATAAGTCTTCGTAATTGGAGTCATTTTAGCAATACAATGTCCCACTAGTAGGTGCCAAGAATCATCGGAACAGAAATAACCACCGCAGTTCCTGTTCGCGTGTGCAGATTCAACCTACCTACGTCAATACCAGCCTCCGTTTTCGTGTCACGCCGGACGTATTTCCTTTTTCTTTCGTCACCATTCCTGTTACTCATACGCTATGCGGCTACATGGCTGTCCGTCTCGTGATGTAAAACTACATGAATCATCACACCGTCCGCATTGTTGAAGAAATCCCGCTAGCTAGCGTACCGGCATTCTGCAACTGCGGTGGAGTACCATTTTTCCGATCACTGCCCTGAATCTCTCTGTGACGCTACTGGAAAATATTGCGGATAACGAGTGGTCTCGCACGCGGCGTGCCGTATTTTTCACCCGGAAAAGTTTCCTCGTCGACTCAGAGCATCAAGGACAACAGTAGCTGTTCGGACGCCGTTGTGTGCGGACGCCCCCGTTCCAAGCACGCGATCAGCGGGCAGACTTGTGCAGCGCGTATCCTGAGCCGTGGGTTGACTTCCGTGACATCCGTGAGCCGTGAGTTGAGTCTGAGTCGTGAGCCCCGCCGGACGCGGGGGTGTTGGAGGTCATTTCTGATCTGTCGGTCGGCGCCATTGTCCACAGCTGTGTATCGCGTCTGTGTGCTGTGATCACGCCTGGTCTTGATATCGGGCACAGCTGACCGGCGAGACAAATCGCTCTCTGGTCGCGAGGTCATCGTCAGTCGGACGCAGTGAGACGCGGGCGACGGGCAGTGAACGGTCAGGGCGGCGGGCGGCGGACGGCGGACGGCGGGCGGTGGACCGTGGACGGTGGACAGTGTGTGGGAGCGAAGTGACAAAGTGTGGATATAAGCACAAGTGGTGAATGTTGAACGGCACGAGAAAAGGGGTGAAGTGAAGAAAAACAACGAGAAGAGATACTGGCGGCGGAAATACAAATAGCTCAGAGAAGTGTTGGGGCTGAATATTGATCTTCAATCATCACAAGAATTTTTTCCCGAGCTTCAAGCACCCTATTTATCGAGAAGTCCGGCTAGAAGCCCGTGCTTCGAGATATTCCCTGGTACTTCTGATCAATAACCTAGCAACGTAAGCCACTCCCGTACGTCCCGCATCCATCTCGTGTTTTCTGTCCATCACCACACATCTCCCGATCATCACGATGCCTGAAATGGATCCAGCCTTCTCAACCGTTGTACCCAACCAGCCGGCCTTCCACATTTGGCGAGTCGAAAACCTACAACTGGTACCCGTACCTCTGGCACAACATGGCCAGTTCCACCGAGGAGACTCGTACATCGTCTACAGTTCGGCAGAGCCGCCGGTCGGTCGACGAGGGCCTCTTCAGGTTCACATCCACTTCTGGCTGGGCTCACAGACCTCAGTGGACGAGGCTGGAGTGGCTGCCTACAAGACCGTCGAGCTTGATGACCTCCTGGGAGGTGCTCCTGTACAGCATCGCGAGGTTGAGGGTCGAGAGAGCCAGCCGTTCCGTTCCTACTTCCGCGAAGGAATCACCTACCTAGAGGGTGGCGTGGCCAGTGGTATGACCCATGTCTCCGACGAAGTCCAGCCGAGGATGTACATGGTGAAGGGAAAACGCAGTCCTGTGGTTCGCCAGCTGACTTCCGTCTCCTGGGATCACATCAACGATGGCGACGTTTTCGTCATCGACGCCGGCGATACGATCTTCGTCTGGACAGGAGCGTCAGCCAACCCCATGGAGAAGATCCAGGGCGCTCGGCTAGCTCAGCGCCTCAAAGCAGAACACGGCGGAGGGATTGTAGTCGTGGTGGAGTCCGGCTCTGAGAAGAGCCTTCCGCCGGACGAGCTGCGTCGACTGGAGCAGCTGCTGCCGCTGGCTGAGAGGAAGGTGGCGCCAGCGGAGCCGGACTCGGCAGACGCGGCGCAGGAGAGACGACTGGCCGAACAGCTGCGGCTGTTCAGGTGCTCCGACGCCGACGGAACGCTGCAGGTGAGGGTATGGGAGAGAGTAGCGGGAACGCTGCAGGTGAGGGTATGGGAGAGAGTAGCGGGGTCAAAGAGAGGGAGGGTATGGAGGAAGGGATAGAGGGGAGGTGAAGGGCGGGAAGGGAAGGGATAGATATAGGAATGGGTGAAAAGGGTATTGATAGGGTAGATGATGAGGAGAGCCAGAGAGGTTATGAAGCGGGAGGGAACCAGAAAAATAATAGAAAAGGAAAAAGAGGGCTAAAATGCAGGCTCAATGGTTGAACAGGTTATACCTAAATCACCTTCTCGCGTGTTCTGGCGTCATCCTATTTCGGCACTGAGCATGTGCGCACCTTTAATGCCACACTTCATGATGTGAATCATCTGACGCGTTTGTGTGTCTGTGCGTCCTTGTCTGTCGACAGGTGACGGAGGTGAAGCACGGGCCACTGCTTCAGGAGGATCTCGTCTCAGACGACTCTTTCATCGTCGACAACGGCGAGCAGGGCATCTGGCTGTGGGTGGGACGGGGCGCCTCCGCCAAGGAGCGCTCCGAGGGTATGCGCAACGCACAGGGCTTCGTCCAGAAGAAAGGATACCCGAGCCACACTCCGGTGACGCGAGTGATCGACGGTGGCGAGCCGCCGGAGTTCCGCAGTCTGTTCCGATCCTGGAGGGAGAAGAACGCAACGGTTGGTCTCGGTCGTCAGTTTTCCTCTGGAAAGATCGCTGCCCGACCTCCTCCCACTGGATTTGACGCTACCATGCTTCACGCCAATCGTGCACTGGCCGCCAAAACACAAATGGTTGACGACGGTACGGGCGAATGCACCGTATGGCGTGTGCAGAACTTCGACCTGAAGCTAGTTCCGACCAGCGAGCACGGTCGTTTCTTCGGAGGTGATTGTTACGTGGTGCAGTACGCGTACAAGGTATCTGGCCGAGACCACTGGCTTCTTTACTACTGGCTGGGAGCTCACAGCAGTCAGGACGAACGCGGAACTGCAGCCTTGAAGACTGTCGAGCTGGACGATAAGCTGGGCGGTCGTCCGGTCCAGGTTCGCGTGGTTCAGGGAAAGGAACCGCCCCACTTCATGGCCATCTTCGGAGGTCGGATGATCGTGTATGCTGGTGGCAAGGCTTCCTCGTTTGATGGGCCTGGAGCTGAGGATCAGGACCTAGCCGACACCTACCTTCTTCAGGTGAGTCGGTACCTTCTTACTTTAGGTGCTCCCGTGGCATGGGAACTCCCTACTCCCTGCTTCCTTTATGTGAGTAGGAATCTTCTTAATTCAGTTGAGACACGACATTAGCGGAGTATGCCCAGAGAGGTGGAGCGCCACGTAATAGTATTTTCAATTTTCATATTCCACTGAAACTACTTTGCCAAACAACAATTGATCTATACTTTTAAATTGGAGGAAAGTGTTATACGAAATCGTTTGGAAGACAAGCTCTAGGATACTTGATATAAGATTGAAAATGTACATAAGACCGACGACATAAAAGATCCTTCGAACCTTTGTCATTGTGCTTCCAGCTCATAAGCAATGACTGCCCTCCCTCATGCTCACTACTGCTCGTGCTCCACAGGTGCGTGGCTCTCAGCCTCTCAACACCAAGGCCGTTCAGGTCGAGTGCCGCGCCAAGTCGCTCAACTCCAATGACTGTTTCGTGCTGCGTATACCGGGTGGTGCCTGGGTCTGGACCGGGCGAGGCGCTTCAGCGGACGAGCGACAAATGGCCCGGTCAGTCGCCGGACAGCTCTGCTCCGAACCACGAGACATCGCCGAGGGTTCCGAGCCGGATGAATTCTGGAGTGCCCTTGGCGGTCGAGGAGAGTATGCCAACGCGCCACGCCTGGCCGAAGAAACCGCCCAGCCCGCACGTCTGTTCCATTGCTCCAATGCAAGCGGAACGTTCCGCGTACGCGAGATAGCTGACTTTGATCAATCGGATCTCTGCGAGGATGACGTCATGTTGCTGGATGCCTGGGATTCGGTGTTTGTTTGGATTGGATCCAAGTCCAACCGAGAGGAGCGCGCTGCCGCTGAAAAGGCAGCCATCGAGTATCTGCGCACGGATCCTTCTGGTAGGGGAACAGGCACGCCAGTGCTGAGGATTAGACAGCATGGCGAGCCTCCCTCCTTCACTGGGTTCTTTGGCGCATGGAGTGACGCGCTGTGGTCTGAACAGCCCAGCTGGGCGGCCGTTCAGAGGGAGCTACGTCAGCAGAATCGACCCCAAGTGGAGAAAGTGGTGGAGCGTCCTGACCGACCTAGGTACCCCCTCTCCGTGCTGAGGTCTCGGCAGCTCGATGATCTGCCCGACGATGTCGACCCCACACGCAAAGAAGAGTACCTGGCGGCGGAGGAGTTCGCGCAGGTATTTGGCGTGAGCTGGGAGCGCTTCCAGGAGATGCCGCAGTGGAAGCGAGTACAGAAGAAGAAAGAGGTTGGGTTGTTTTAGCCGAAAGAGTGAATGTTGCGCATGTGGAACGGGGCACCTCGCGACGGTAGAGATGCCATTTCTCTAGTCATGAAATCAGGCGGCAGTTGTTCTCGTTAGGGAATTTCATGAGGCGTCATTTAAAGGAGCGTTTCAACTTCTACTCTTTAGGCGAACTTACTGCCAAGGCTGTCCAAGCATGAAGCTCAGCATTGCGAGGATAGCTATCTTTAGTGCATTGGCATGAGCGATATGGGATTTACCGGTGGGGTGAGTGTATAAGTAGAATTTATGGGTTACAGACCGAACAAGTATGACGTTACTTTTGTCAACATAGCATGCTGAATCTTTCAGATTGGCATATGCTTTTGCGGTAGCGCACAAGATTTAGCAGACTTTGTGTTTTATCGTGCAGGTATATCTTCATTTTTTATTGTAGTAAATAAATAGAAGGCTTACCATTTCGCACTGTTTATGTCACAATGGACAGCACTAGAGTCACGGAAGGTATCCGCATATTATCCCGCTGTGTCACTGCCGCGTGGTCCTCGGGAAAACACGGCGATAAGATCTGCCGCGTCTCGAACACCGCCCAATTATCTTCAAGTATATCCCGCGCACCGACGGGGGGCGGATATCCGCCCCCCCCCTGAGGTTTTTCGTAGATAGCGGGAAAATCAGAGCGCGTAGCGCCGCGAAATTTAGTACGACTATTTTGTCATCAATTTTACACATGATGTGCAAGTTTGAACCTCCCAACTTTTAGGGTCAGGTCACCAGGTCACTTTGAATGACCCAACCTCAAGTCACTTTTTTGCAAATTTGTCACCGTGCCAAAGCTACAGTAGATGTCGGAGGCCTTTGAAATTCTCAGGATGTTATAAGGTCATTAGTAGCTACAATTTTTATCTCTCTGAATTTTGATATCGATGACCTAAGGTCAGGTCAATTTCTCGACCTCCCCATTATAAGTCAATGGGGGAAAAATCAACTCCCTGTTTTTACCATTAAAACGGGTCGGAATGGCCCCATAAGCCATACATGACTTCACATACGATCAACCTTCACTACCTTGAGGTCTGTTTTGCTGTTGGGCAGCTGTAAGGTCATGTGACGTCATCAAAGGTCACCAAAGGTTTTTGCCAATAACTCCGTACAGGAACAAGATAAAGCCGCGCGGATGGTTTCATTGTGTTCAGCTCGTCAAGGCGCATCGAATGATATACATGATGACCTCGAGGTCACGTGACCTGAGGTCAACCATTGACCTTGACCTTTCGAGGTCAACATATATATCATTCGATGCGGATTTACAAGAGGATCACGATGATGCCCTTAGTTTGTTCCTATCTTGACTAGTTCGAAAGTTATTCGAGAAAAACTCTCCATATCTAGCGCCGCCATTTTGACTTTTTTGACCCCTGTGACGTCATCTTTGACCTGACCTGAAAATGACCCCAGTAAAAATTGTAGACCTTGTCCGTGCGTATCCCATGCCGTTTACCGCTTGTCGCTATCTTGCTTCGTTCTCGAGATCTCATGGGGGGGGGGGCGGTCATCCGCCCCCCCCCCCGTCGGTACGAAGTTGGCTGATGAGACTTTTTGATGACTTTCATAAACATAACCTTACTATCGAGGTCGCACTTAATTTATTTAGGCATTAAACTCACATGGGCATGCCTAAATGGGCCCCGATGACCATAAGGTCACCGATACGGGCACATGACAGCAATACCTGACGCAATGGCTGCGCGACATGTGAGTCAGGTAACAGGTTAGTGAATGGCAAGCAAAGATCACGCTCAAAATGACACTGCGAGCAGTAATCATCATTTACATTCATATTCATTCTACCTAATGTGGGCGGAATAACACTTGATTATGCTTCAACAGAATAACCACTTAAAGGTAGTGTGCCACCTTTGAAAGATTTCCCATTTTATTTTTCCTAGGATAAGAAGCTTCTGTTTTTACCTAATATCGCAAAGAAAATCAAAAATGGGCATGGAATAGTGCCTTTTTCGCCTAAAAGTTTATCGGTTTTTCTATATGTATAACAACTGTAGTGGGCTGACCTGCAAACAGGCGTCGGCAACAATCGCGAATGCGGCGCACATGTGACAATAAGCAAAGGTCATTATAGAGTTACGACGTACGGGAATGAGTTATCAGCTGTCTAATCGTAGACAACACAATGTCGAGCCTTAAACTGTAAGCCTGTATTGGTATTGTTTCTTTTATTTGACTGTCGAACATTATTTTTGGTTTGAAATATGATTTTATGTAAAATAATTGATATGAAAAAGCCGTCTCTTAAGTTATGACCCCATTTCACCACACGCAAGTGGCAGAAATGACAATGATCAGCTGACGCATTTTTCTTGGCCGAAGTCAGAGCGCGCGGCCCGACGCACCACCACCGCACCACAAAGTATGAGCAGAAGCCACGCCCAAAGCCAGGGCCCCGGTAACGTGAGGTAGCCGAGTCGGGGCAGCGTGCGCTGACCCAAGCCGGGGCCGCAGCTTTGGGCGCGGTCTACCGCATCCCCGCGGGCAGCCCCGGGCTATCACATGACACCGGGAGGACGCGCGGCCCCGGCTTGGGTCAGCGCACGCTGCCCCGACTCGGCTACCTCACGTTACCGGGGCCCTGGCTTTGGGCGCGGTCTACCGCACCACCTAACAGGCGTGTTCGAAACCGCAGGAGATGATGATGAACGGGTTTATCGAAACTTGATTGGATGAGCATATCGGTAATAGCGATTTCAGTGTGTGCATTTATTGTTCATAGTGGTGTGAAATGTGGTTGGGGTACGACCGACAACCCGTCGGGGCGAATTTCGCACTGGGGTACTCAAAATTTGAAGAATTTAAGACGTTTCCATGAGTTTTGAAGGTATGGATAAGTTCTAAAAATCCGGTTCTCCTTATCTGGGCCATTAACTCCATACGGTCCAGGAAAGCTGGTACACTACCTTTAATACTTACCTATCTTTTATTAGATCACTAATATTCTAGAAACAAACTTAGCGTAAGCTCTTAAACGTTTACTGCAAACAATTGCATTTTTAAATACACATGTATTCGAAAAATATTACAAAAGCAAGTTGATCAAGCGGCCTTTCCTACCATCCACAGTCGTGTGAAGGAATCGATAGTCCGCCACACCACTAGTGCTTGGTGGAAGAGCGTCCGTGGGCTGCATGCAGTGCCGGTGAATTTGGCCCCGGGAGTTTACGCGTGCAGAGCCCCAGTGCGTTATTAAATGATAACGATAGGCCCAGTGTCAACATTTGAGATCCGGGGGCAGGCGAGGGCTTTGAGATGAAAGACAGATGTGAAAGCACCACATTTAGATAAGATTTGTTTTCATCTTTCCATATTTGACAATTAGTAATATCCTATTCAAATTTTCAGTGCATTCGAACTAACTACAGGTTCAAAATCAAAGTCACATTTCTTATACATAACAAGGACTAGTAATAGATTTAAAACGGGAACTATGTTCTTTAAGTTTCTCAGTGCTTGTGCGAGGATCATATTAAAGCATTTTGATTAATGATTAATGACCTTACCCTCGTAGTTTGAAAAGGTTAGATCAAAACACTTGTTTATTATAAACAAGTGTTTTGATCTAACAAGTGTTTTGATCTAACTTTTTCAAACTACGAGGGTAAGGTCATTAATCATTAATTAAAACGGGAACTATTTTGATGCTGCGTGTAAAATATATACCTACGTCGGTGGCAAACTCTCGAAGCACAATACTAAGGTGAATCTATCTTCCAGTAGTAAAGAGTAAAGACGTAAGCATATAAAACAAACCTTTATGTATTCTTGCCTGGACCCAATCGGAAGGTGATGATGCAAAACTATGCGTAGGGTAAATCTGTGTTTTAACATGTTTTAGTGTATGTGCGCGCGCGCGCGCGTGTGTGTGTGGTGTTCACTTACATAGGATTGTACGTAGCTTGTACGACAATATACATCAGCCGTTTTCACGACGGTCATCTGGTACACATTTGGTGCACATTTGGTGCAGATTAGGTGCAGATTTGGCCAAATTAGGTCCAGTATATCTCTTAGTAGCTATCAGCTAGGGTTGCACTAATTGCTGATATGCCTGCTTTGTCATAGGTATTGACTACGTTTCCATGGCACAAGTTAAGCCGATTTTGAAAAATGGATTTGCTCCATCATAGCATTTAGGCATAATGTAAAAATGTAAATATAGGATTAGGTGCTAGCTAAAACGCTCATTTTTTTGCATAAGGTAAATAGTTTCCGAGAAAAACGCACGTGAAATTTCGCTAAATCGATTTAGACCACGGACGTGCCATGGAAACGTAGTGATTATCAGATGGTATCATCGATTAAAACACCGACAAAAATCATAAAATGAAGATATTTGCTGTAAAAGAGTTTAGGTGCAGATTTGGCCAAATTACGTGCATTCGCCGGATAACCCATCGTGAAAACGGCTAATACTGACTGTTAGGGCATTCCGGTGCACTTATCTCCTCACTGTTAGTAATCTCATTATTTGATGATCAGGGATAAGAGACTTCTTTAATCGAAACTCTGTTTTATTTCGTGGTGTTACTAGAATGTCGAAAAACAGATCGATAAGATAAAACAAAAATAAACGACGCGAAGCGAAGTTTACAATACATACCTAGATGATGAAAATTTGAAAAGCACCGAACTATGTAAACTAAGACCTTTTATAGGGGCATCGTAAAGGTGCGATGCTACAATAGGTAAATACATACACAGTTATATGTAAAAAAGAGAAAAAGTCGCAAGAGAAAAGGCCAAACATGCAGTACTGACAGTGTAAATTGGATGGAACTCCCTTCACTCCAGGCTTGTAGCCAAATCATTTGGATTCCTGAAATTTCTTTCCATCCATTACGGTTTGCTGTGCAAGGCCTTTGGCCTTAGCGCTGAGCTGAGGTCCGCGCGCCAGACAGTGTTTGCCGATACAGGGCGCACACCAGGGTCCCCAGCAGATCTTCCAGCGACAACACCAGCCCAGATGACCGTACGGACACCCATGCAGAAAGCAGGCTTTGAATGGGCTCCTGCACTTGGCCTGACATTCACCTGGAAATGAGAGGATATAGTGAAGGACACTGTAGTTAGATGAATAACGCAGTGATTTTATGGCAGCGATTTGGTATATGAAAATAAGTGAGTGCGGACCAGACCATGTCAATTAATAATTGAACTCTTATTTTTTATAAGCTACGCAAGAAGCAGTTCCAAGTTTGTAAGTTGGGTACCAAATGATGACACATGCATCGCAGTGAGCCTTTTCATAATGGTGTTCTGCTCACCTAGCGAGACTGCTCGTGGTTTGCAACAGAGTGGATAGGTGCTGGAGCCACACGGGTAACAATTGTGGCCGCGCCGACAAGGCTGACCGAGCCGAGCGCTGAACGTTTTACAGTTTGCATCT